TGCAGGTCCTATCTCCACAATGCATTTGCATGGTGTAGGGTTATAGCGATTGAGTGTGTGTGCTTGTGCGTGTATGCAACAGGCAGGTTAAGTGAAATATGAAAAAGTGAACAACTGGGTTAAGCCACATGTTAGACATAGAAGTAAGAATGTGTAGCGAGCCAGTAGGAAAGAAGGGTGACTCATGGAGAAGAGTGTGACCTGGGCTTCATGCCTGGATTTGGAGGAATTTTTCGTGATCTTCTTTCCTCCCTCCCTCCCTCCCTCCCTCCCTCCCTCCCTCCCTCCCCCCTCTCTCTTTCTTTCTAATGCTAGGGACCAAAGCCAGGACCTTAGCAGGATGAACACCCACAACCCAAAGACAGTCTTAGAAGGAGAAAAAAGACAATGGAGCATAACCAGACTGTGAAGAAATAGAGGCTGAGGATCTTATAAATATAAACAAGAGCAACAAACCCTCAGATTATAGTTTCACCACGCTCAAGAGCCCCAGGCAGGGTGCACGCTGCATACCTAGTTAAGTTTTTGCTCCTGTGATAAGGACCATGGCCAAAAGCAACATGGAGAGGGGAGGGTTTACCTCAGCTTATACTTCCTGGGAACAGTGGATCACTGAGGGAATCCAGAAGCCAGGATGGAAACTCAAGGTGGGAACATGGAGGCAGGAAGTGATGCAAAAGCCATGGCAAGGTACTGCTTGCTTCCCCTGGCTTCCTAGTTTGCTTTCTTATTCACTCTAGTACTACATGCCCAGAGGCAGCACCACCCACATTGAGTTTGGGCCTTGAATATCAACCACTAACCAGATATATCTATATCTATATATAGATATATCTATATATAGATATAGATATAGATATATATACCTAAAAGCTTGTTTACAGACCATTTTGATAGGGAAATTTTCTCAGTTGTCATTTCTTCTTCCCAGATGGCTGAAGATTGTGTCAAGTCAGAAAAAGTAAAAAAAACAAACAAAAAAAAAAAAAACCACCTCACCTATGGTGGTTAGAAAGAAAATGGGAAAATGGCCCCTAAAAGGACTACCACTATTAGGAGGTATGGTCTTCTTGGGTTGGATGTGGTCTTGTTGGGGTGGCTGTGGACTTGTTGGGGTGGGCTTTGAGGTCTTTTCCTCAAGATTCATTGAGTGTGACAGTCAGTCGACTTCCTGATGCCTCTGAATCCAGATGTGGGGCTCTCATCTCCAGCAACACATCTGCCTGCACGCTGCCATGCTTCCCACCATGACGATAATAGACCGAACCTCTGAAACTGTGAGTGAGCCCCTCAATGAAATGTTTTCTTTATAAGAGTTGCTGTGATCATGGTGACTCTTCACAGCAATAAAAACCCTAACTAAGACTCAATAACACTCAATAACAACAATGACAGGAACACCCAAATTAATGCCTTATAGGTTCAAACAGTAGAATGAATGGAAAACAGCACAGAGAGCACCTTGGAAGGTGTTAAGCAGAACAAAACACAAATCATTTTCAAAGCAGCATCCAAAAAGTTAATGTCTGGCTCCTCATCACAATTGCACAGGAGAGGACAGAAGGCACAGTTTTCAGGAGCCCAGGGACAGCAAGTAAATCCCATTGCACAAGACACAGCTTTTACAATTTTTCACGGTCAAAGGCAGCCTCCCATTGCACTACACATGGCCTTCCCAATCAAAGGTGACAGACAGACACTTAAAGACAAAGAGAGAGAACATGTTGTCAGCATACAGTTTTAAACCAAATGCTAAGGAGTTTTTTTTTTTTTTTTTTCTGAGGGGACAAGAAAGGAATAAAACATAATGGCAGCTGACAGGTGAAATGTGGAGTGAATTCTCCATGAGTACTGGATGGATCAAATGCTGTAAATAATGCCTATTTAAACCAGATAGAGAATTGGTTTTTTAATAGAAAAAAACAGGAGAGAAGGTAAAGACTAAAGCATTCTGAAGTTCTCACATTTGTCTGGAAAATTCTAACTTACATTAGTAAGTCTAGCATTCTATTGTGCTAGTACCATTATAAAACAATCTCAAAAGAATGACAGCTCAGAGATGTACTGATGGAAATAATAAAACGACAAGAAAACTCTATGGAGTTAAAACTAAAGGAAGCAGAAACATAGAGCCAAGGGAGCAAACAGAAAACATCTAACAAGACAGTAGATTCTAAACAAACAACCAGTAATTACATTAAATGCAAATATATGACTCCAAATTTAAAATATTGTCAGGATCCACAAAAACCAAAATCCATTATACTGTGTAAAAGAAACATATCTTAAATATGATGCTGTAAAATGACAGAAAGGGAAATTTTGAAAAAAGAAAGGGATCCCATGTGCATACTTTCAAAAGAAATGTGGTATAGTTACAGTACTATCAATCAAATTGACTTTAAGATGAGAAGCATCACCACAAACAAAGAGGATTGTTTATAAAAAAAAGGAAGATTTAGTGCCAGGAAAGTTAACAAGGATTCTCTGGCTGTATGCATTGAACAGCACAAAGTCCAAGGAAAGATAGAACAATCTTCAATCATAGTGAGAGATTTTAAGAGATCTTTCTTGTCAGCTATGGGGAAAGGAGGGTTAGTGGGGGGGAGGCAAAGACAGACAGAGACAAAGAATGAGAGAGAGACATAGAGAAGAGAGATAGGCTGCAGTAGAAGAGAGGAGAGAGACACAGAGAGGAGAGAGAGACACAGAAAAAGAAGAGACAGAGACATGGACACAGAGAGACAAAAAGACAGAGACAATGAGCAGAGAGACAGAGAGGAAGAAGAGACAGAAAGAAAAGAATTGTTCTACCCAGCTATATAGCCCACAAAGCAGAATGACCAGGTTAAGATATACCCAAGCATGTGAGAGCACATTTTTCTTGAGCTAACCAGCAGCCTAATTAGTTCTAATTGGAATTAACACCCACTCAGTAGGAGAAGACTCATGCCTGGTTTTCTAAATCTAGCCAAATGGTCATGGCTGGTGAGGCCATAGACCACTAGGAGAACATACTACGGTCAATTCTCTAAGCTGTTGTAATTACCAACTACAGTCTGAATATCTTTTCTTATATCCACAGAGAAGTATAATTGTGACCCCTCATCAAAGAAGCTTCCTTTTGTAGCAGAGACATCACAGAAATCCAAAATTGATCAAATGCATAGAACAACTGTGGGGTGCCCATTGGCAACACAATCCCTACACCTAAAGCCAGAGGACCAGGACATCTGCTTCCAGGCAGTGTCTCCCCTATAAGACAGAGAGTTATACTTAGGAAATTAACAATATGGTCACCTAAACAAGACTCATACAGTGACAATACCAGTTGACATTCCAACATAGATGGAGGGAATCCCACAAGGCCCCAATCCTGATGAAGAGCTACAGCCAAAGCGAGGGTGACTGAGTGTTCTCCAGGGATGAGCCCTCCATCAAGTTAGCCAGTCTCATGTGGAGGCCTTAAGTGCATATATGTATGAGTAACACTAACTGGACACAGCAGGTTATGTTTGTATGTATATCAAGAATAATTAAAGAAGAGGTTGTGAATTTGAGAGGGAGTTGGGGGAAAGGGTGAGTTGAAGTCATGTAAATGCTCAAAGTAATAAGTGTAAAAAGTTTTTTTTTTTTAAGATCTTAATTGACGTAAAAAGAATTACAACTAACAACTGCAGAATGAAATTGCTTTAAAAGTATATAGGGAATTTTTGCAAAAATAACCATTTTGAGGGCCAGGAAGTAAATTTCAATATATGGGCTTTTAAACCACAAAGCTACAATAGAGTACATTCCCTTCAGCTTATAATAAATAAAAGAATGGAAGAGTTGAAATGATTGAAAATGAAGCAATACACTTCAAAATAATCCACTGGCCAAAGGAGATAAAATACAATGTAAATTATAAATGTTTTAGCTCAATAAAACTATAATGAATCTTTGTGTACACTTAAGACCAAGCCTAACATACATCTAACATACATTGAGAGCACATATAAAGTGAAAGCAAAAGCTTTTGTCTTTTAAGCCTGTGTTAAAAAATTTAAGAAGACAGCAAATGGATCACACAAAAAAGATAACATGAGAATAGCACAAATAATAAAAATAGGAAGCAAAAACACAATGGAGAAATCAACAACGGCAAAACTATTTGTTACTTGAAATCAGTAATAAGTTATGGCTCAGGCAAGAGAGAAATAAGTTACTAATATCACCACAGATCTTAAGGGGAATTAAATGAAGATTAAAAGAACCTAATAATTCTAAATTTTAGGTGAAATTGACTAGTTAGTGAAAAAAACTAAAGCCTTATAAAAACTTTTTTTTTTTTTAGAAACAGGAAAAAGTGGATTAATTTTCCTTCACAGAATTTCAACCTGCAATTTGAAGCTCTTTCTTCAGGAAGCCTTCACACCAGGCTAGCTGGCCTCAGCCATGCAGTTCCCTAACACTGAAAGTTACCACTGACCACTGGGAAGGGAGAAGATTCTCAGCAAGGCATGTTATGGAGTCCACAAAGGACTGTTTCAAAATTCAGAGAGAAAAGAAAATTCCAGAAGTAAACCTTACACCCTGGGTGGTGCTCTCTCTACAGGCTTAGCTACGGAGAGATTATGCTCTAGTTAGCTCTCTATGTCACTTAATAAAGACATGTTCACAGATAGTGGACAGTTGCATCCAATTGTCCTCAAATAATTGGCCAAGTTCCCTTTGGCTCCCAAACAGCCTGGTATTTTCTCATTAATGATTTGCCACTCTGAACTTTTCCAGTGTCTTCAGCAATGCTTAGACTTCTGTCTGCCTTGACATCAGTGCTCTCAACTTTGATAATGGAGTCCTATCTTCTCCTTGAAGACAGGGCTGTAGGAGACAAATCTTGGCTGTTTTAGGACTTGGCTGTTTTGCCGCAGGACATTCATGTCTTATTGGTTCTTATGCTTTATGTTTAATGACCCCAATCCACCCCCACGACCTGTATCCCCCAACTGTTTGCATACCTGGTGGAATTTATTCACTTGTCGCACATAACCAGCCACATCGTTATCAGATTTGAAGATCTTCCAAACCTTTCTTTGTGTGTTTTCGTATTCCTGTGATCCCTTCCAGTCCATGGTCATCAAGGAGCGCTCTGTCAGGACGGCTGCCACAATGATATCCAGTTGGCCATTGTAAAGCAGAACCTGAAATGAAACCCAGCCCTTAGCAAGTATGGAATTCAAAAGGGGAAAACAAGGGACAAACTCCTGAATCAGAAATGGAAACCTGAGCTTTAGAGCCAGTGTTCTAAGAGGCTAGCCTCGAAGATCTGAGACTCATTGCCTTCCAGGTCACCACACACAGCAGCAACCTGAAAGAAACCCTGGTCTTGTCTCAGCCAATGCATCCTGGACTAGGTCAATGTTGAGCTCTTCAGTTTCTGTGGTTGGCCTGAATGGAGACTTTTGGTTGAGTCTTCAAATTGAATTCCACTGTGTATGTTATTTCTGCCTTTGTGATGCTGCCTTCTTAAAAAGTTTAAGCAAATTTAAAAGCTCTCTCTCTCTTTCTGTGTGTGTGTGTGTGTGTGTGTGTGTGTGTGTGTGTGTTCGTATAGGCATGAACTTAGCTATCTAGGAAGAGGGTATATATTTTAATGGAACCAAGGAATACTACACTTTTTACATTGTTTGTCCTCCTGTGCCATTTTTAGCAACTACAACTCCTTCAAACAGAATGATAGACACAAATTCTCAAATAACCCCGCACCACTCCTAAGGTTTCTTCGTTTTACTGTGATGGTCACTCATCCACAGTGAGGGAAGTCCTTCCATTCCAGAACACACCTTTTCCTCCCACATGAATGGATACCACAGAGAATCCTGGGATGGTTTTCCTTCTCTCCACACAACTCACAGTTCACATGTCAAGAGTTTAGAGGTATAGATACTTTGTGTTCCCAATAACACTATTTTGTGAAATGCACTCTAGAAAAAAATTATTTAATTATGCTCCTTGAATGGCATTATTGCCAAGAACTTAACAAAACCCAACATTTTGTAACTGGTATGTCATTAAATGTACCTTGGTACAGGAATTTTATGGGATGGTGTAAAGTCATTTAAGTATTTAGTTGAGCCATTAAGTGAGGTTAGATATGCTTATTATAAAAAATGATATATGAAAGATGAAAGTCTAACATAAGCCATATTATAGTTACATATATATGTAATGATATATATATATATATATATATATATATATATATATCTCATTAATTTACACAGTAGAGATCTGAGACACTTACCCCTTTGTTTTCTATTTTTCTGACATTGTTTACATGGTACTAACAAGATCATAATTATCATAAAGCATTGCCATTTTATCCAGTCAAGAGGTTTTCCTAAACACTGAGCAACCTTTGATCTACTCTGAGGCTCTGCTTTGGCCTCAGTGGGGAGACTTTTAGTTCAGACTTAGATATCAAGTGTTTGCTACATATGTTTCCATCTCTGCATGGCACAGGCTTCCTAAAGGGCTTCAATGTAATTAAAAAGTCTAGAACTTTGACACACTCCCAACCCTCAAACAGAGGTGGGGTAGGATTCAGGCTAAGATGAAAGAGTCCTGGGCCTCCACCACAGGAACACTCAGCCTTTCATATCGCTCACCCACCATGCTACCCCCTCTCCTACACAGAAACCCAAAAGAAAAAGTCCTTGATAGATTTAAGGCCATTTTAAAGACTTGACTCAACTGAGCAATAAAATATTTGCATTGTTTATACAAAACACTGCCTCAAAGGATTACAGTACTTATGGTCTGTGCAAAGCCTTGTATAGCTGTTCCAGCCAAAAGTATGGAAACAATTACATGTGATAGGTACCAGTGAACAAGGCTCACATACTTCACCATTCTAAAAAGGCCACATTACGACTGATTAACAAAGATAATCATGTACAGAGTAATCCTCCTTCCAGAGTTCAGTGAAGAAATGCTGATTAATTAGCAGTTTGCCAGGTTGTCTGTTCATTTGGGCTGACCATGGCCATGTTATGAGCTAGCATCTTCTCCCAGATGTATTCCTGGAAGCTACCTTTTAATCTTCACTGTAACATAGAAACCATAACATAAGGTTGTTCACTTGTTTCTTTTTCCATTCTTAATGGATAATAACAAAAGTCATAGCTTGCAGGCTTGTCTGCACAGCATTGCAGTATGTGTTTGCTGGTCTGAACACAGCCCACCCCTGAGCTGCTTCCCTTATCATCCCGAACTCTTCACAAACAAGAGCACCAACACTCTGGGAGAAGGTAGTGCAGACTAAACTGCACAATCTTATGTGAAGTGATGTAAAAGACTCACTTTGTGGGGGGAGAGGGGTTGGGGGGGTAATGAATAGCCTTTCCTTCCAAAGCAAGGCACACACTTTTCATTTCGAAAAGGCACATAAATCAAACGGAGCAAAAGAGAAATTAAAGAAATGGTTGTGACCACCGTGGTTGCCAGCTTAGCTTTTTGCTAAAGCACACTTACACATGTGCCAATGAGGATGTTTCTAGAGATGATTAGCATGTATGTTGGGGAACTGAGTGGGGAAACGTCTGCCCTGAACATGAATGGCACACTTCGACAGTTTGGGGGCCCAGATGGAACAATAAGTCAGGACCAGTAGAAGCCTGTGAGTCTTCTACAGATGCAGTGTGTTACTACCAGTTCTTATAGATTTTCCAGACTCTCCGGGTTTTCAGTGCACACGTGCACCAGCCACAACCTGGAGTTAGAGTGGGTGGCTTCTTGGTCTTTATCAGGTGACCAAGACTGAATGAGTGGGTAAAAGAGCCCAGGGTGCAGCACCTGTGAGCTGAGAACCCAGGTACCTGTAGCCTGGAAGCCATGAGCATGAGCCATTTACTCTCCTCCAGAGGCACAGGGGTCTCGGGACCATGCTTGACCCCATGCTCCTGAAGACAACGGACACATGCCCTGGCTTTCCCCAGGTAGATCAGTAGGGATCTAACTCCGGGGAAACTCCATCTGTTTCCCCGGACCAGAACTTGCAGTACTAAGAGCAGGAGAATCACACAAACTTCCCCACTGGGCATGATGGTAATTAGACAAAGTCTAGAGGCAAAGAGAAAAGAGAGAGAAGTGAGATTTTAGCTACATTCCTTGTCAGCAGTGCTTTCCAGAAATGACCCAGGCAGCCCCCTGAACACTCCAGTTCCCCAGCACTCTTGCCTGCCAGCTGTGATACCGACAAGGAGCAAAGGCATTCTTGCTGTCTTTTCCCTCGCTCTCTGGAAGGCTGGCTGGTTAACTCAGTAAAACTAGTTGTTCTGCTACAAGATGGAAAAACGCTTATTGTATGAAAAGAAAATCAGTCAAAAATTGTACTCTCTGTTTGTACTCTATAATTGCCATGCTTTCAAAACACGTGCATGCTTTCGACTTGTGAAAAGAATGAGGAAATGTGCTGGCAGTCTCAAAGCAGCCGAAGCATGGTCAACTTGTTTCGCAGCTCGATCAGTGTCCAGTCGCGTGGTTACAGTGCTGTCACAGTGAAAAACTGCATGACAGGCAGGGACACTAAGAGCCAACCGGTTGCCTCAGTTTGTTAAAGGCTATGGCAGAAGAACCTGTGAACCTCCAACACTACCAGCCCCGCCGTTTCTCATAGAACTAGATAGAACAGCTTCATTTTGGTTATTAGATCGCCTTAAAACTGAAGTGTTTATGAGCAAGGGAACCAGCTATCAGGAAGACAACAGTCTTTCCATCTTTGATGAAAAGCAGAGGGTGGGCCAGTGAGGTGGCTCAGCTGGTAAGGTGGCTTGCCACCAAGTTTGACTTTAACACTTGGAACCCACATGTGGATGAAGATAGCTGACTTCATTTTACAGCTCTTACTGTGTCCACATGTGTCCTGTGGCACAATCATCCATGCGTACATAGATGCACACATACATAAACACATGGATAAGTGGAAAAACAAGGCACAGGAAAAGTGTTTAGATCTGTATTCTAAAGTGCACTTCTTAACATGTGACGTTATGCATACCTTCCTGAGGCAGGGCTAGGTATGTGGTCACTGTGTTAAGGAAGCCATGAGGGTATGAGTTACTAAGTGGACCCCCAGACTTTCAGAAAGCAGCCTAGATCCTACAAAACGGAAGTGCTGGTTCCTGTGACTAAGTGGTCAGTGTTACCAATGTCACCCAAAGCCCCTGGAAACTTCAGATGAGTGGGTGTGAAACCCAGTTCTTGTCTCCACAGGTAACCTTGGACAGTTTGTTCACCATTGCTGAGGTATTTCTCTCAGTCCTTTCTCTCTTTGTAAGAAAAGAATGCATGGGGAGGGGTATTTTCACAGATGGTGACAGAGTCTAATTCCTGCCATAAGGACAGCCTTCTTTGTTTTTATTATAATTTTGTTGTTAGTCTATATTCATTATAAACATCCTAGGTATCATTATGACATTTCTGTGCAACTCTATAAAATTCTCTGTTCTTATTTATCTTCATGTCACTCTCTTGTCCATCACTCCCCTTCCTACTTTTTCTCCCTCAGTTTACTTTTATGCTGCGTGTATGGATGTGTGTGTGTGTATGTGTAAACCTCCAATCTATAAAAGAAAAAAACATAATATTTATTTTTCTGAGCATCATTTCTTATAACACGATCCTGCATTCAATCTATCTTACTGAAAGTGCCAAAATTTTGTTCTCCTTTATGGCTTAATAAACTCCATTTTGTGTGTATTCTAGTCAGCATCTGTTTTATCTGCACATATGTTGATAGACATCTAGGCAGAGCCCCTACCGTCAGTTGAGGACAGTGCTGCAATAAACTTGGATGTACCAACACCTCTGTGGCATGCTCACTTTGGACTTCTCTGGCTATGTACCCAGGTGTGCTACAGCTGGGCCATATGATAGTTCTATCTTCAGTTTCCTTGGGAACCTCCATAATGGCTTTGACAATGGGTATGCCAGACAACACTCCCAAGAATAACATATAAAGTTCCATTACCAACACCACCCAATCCTTGCTCCAGCATTTGTTCTCAATCTTATGTTTTACGATAGCCATTCTGACTGGGGGAAGATAGAATCACCACATAGTTTTGGTTTGGTTTTAGGGTTTGGTGTGTGTGTGTGTGTGTGTGTGTGTGTGTGTGTGTGTGTTTATGAATGTTGGGGT